TATATATTTTTTTTTTAACTTTAGTGTGGAGAGTTGTGCGAGAAAACACAGGATTAGAATAGCCTAAAAGCGATTAATTAATCGGAAAAGATGGCACAGCTTAGAAAAGAAGTTAGTTTAGATTCTCAAGGTAAGTATATTAAAATATTTCAATTCCGTATTTTCGTGTATTTCAGTTAGCAGAATTCCTCTTCTCTTCCTTTTCAACTGGATGAGCATCACGTAACTACGTCCAGTCGGATTAAGCTGGTCACGTGATGTATTGTATCGATTAGTAATTTCGTGGTTGGAAACCGTCCATCCGAAAATTCCAAAGAATCTTAAGCAATTTAGCAACATTAACACAGTTTTAATGATTTCTATTCGTTAAACTGTCTCTTAAAAGTATCCAAATGGAGATATTACATTGTTTTCATAAAACAAAACAAAAATATTCGTTTCATAATAATTATAAAAATGCATTAGTAGAGTAAAATTCTTCCATTTTCTTAATGGACAAACTTTCAAGCTAACCAATAAGATTTAAGTACATGCCCTTTATTGTAACGTAATTTAAACAGACTTTTCAAATTAACCAATAAGCGTAATCCGTTATATTACTTGTTTAAAAATTTAAATTATTCTAATTAAACGAATAAGATTGAATTTTTATATCTGTAAAATTTAAAATTAGTCAATCAACTTTACTTATCCAGTGCAAATATTGATGGATTAATGAACAAATATTGAAATATTGAATATATTGAATATATATTTCAGATTTTAAAAGAATAAATAATGGATTAACCAACAGAAAATTCTATAAATGTATATAGTTCTAATTGAATTATATAATATAAAATTTCTAATAATTTAATTTTGAAAATTTGCATATTGGTTATGTAGTCAAATATTTACATTCTTTTAGGCAATTTAGTTCGTTTGTACAGCTTCCTTACGAGTAAAGCCCATTATATTTTATAAATCAAATAGGATTTAAATTAAAGGAATGAGAGATTAATAAAATATTTAAATGGCAATTTTACTCCTTGGACTAACCTTTAAACAATGGAATATTTTCGAAATAATAATAATATATTGATGTCTAGCTTCATTTCTTACAGACAATTTTTTTAAGTCTTTACTGATAAAAAACTTTTACCGTTAGAAAGAAACATTATGTTTTTATGACTAAGATAGAGGAAAATGAGACTGCTCATTGTATAAATCATGGTTCCAATACAGATAGAGAGGTCAACCCCTTGTCAATATAAATCCTAGTCTAGAAATAAACAGACAAGACCAATACTTCAGTTACATCTTGTAGGACACTTTTTTCTATGCGAAAATCTAACAGTATTACTAGTGATCGATAAAAAAAATTCAAAAATTACAATGAATCTTCGATACTTTTCTTGTCTTGTCAACTATAATAAGGAAAGTAAGTGACGTACTGATATAAACCGAAATATTCTTCACAACAGGTAATATTTCTTTGGATATAAAATTTATTTCTAAGCATTATAAAAATGAATTAATGTACCGTGCGTAAATTTAAGAATTTTTTTAAAAATTTAAAAAATTTTATCGGTGTTCTTTACACGGAAGAACAGTATAAAAGTTCTAAAATCAGTTTAGATATTTTCCAAATATATATATATTTGTGTGTGTATTTAAAAAATTAAAAAGAAATTAATAACGTTTTAAATAATATTTACGTCATAGTTTTAAGTTTATAGTAAAACACGTTAAAATAATTACGTAACAAAGGAATGACGTCTTATAAAATAAATAAAGCCATCGCCATCTGTTGTCTAAAAATCGAACGTCTGGCTTGTGTGTGATACGCTCGTATTTCTCTTACGTCATCGTTTTCTGTCGGCCTGTAAATATTACGTCAAGAATATGCAAAGTAGTGACGTAGTTTCTACGTGCTGCCATCTCTCTTTCGAAAATCGAAAACTGAAATGGATAATTATTTAAAACAGAATTTTTGTTGCATCATTCTTAGAATACAAAAGTGATATTGCCATTTATTAAACTGTTTACTAGACTGGATATTCAACAATGATGTATGTTACATGCAGATTTAACTGTAGAGTAATTTGGACGTTTAATTATGTAAGCAGAACTCGGAAACCAATTTGGTGTTGCTGGATAATTTCCATATTGATGACTACCAACTCCATACAATTTATGCAGGAGCCTCTCCGATTGACATACCAAAAACATTAAATTTTATTATATAAAATTAAAAATATATATATAATAATAAACAAACAACAATTAAATCGTAAATTCTAATAAAATGAGAAAAAAAATATTAATACTGACAATTCTGCCATCTAGTGGAGATATTTTAAACAAACAATCTTTTTTTTATTATAATTTATTATTTACAATAATTAAAATCACACTATTAAATACATTAGTTATCATATTATTTTAAAAGGTAATGAAAACAGAAATAAAAACTAAAATATTTCCTTTATATCGAAACCAATTACTAAAATTGCGACTGATATGACATCACGTCTGTCTAATATTTCACATTACCAAGGAGATAAATTTTGACAGCGCCATCTCGTAGCAACAATTACAACTAACAATTGCTATCTTTGTAACACACTATAATCAATAACTTACAAAAGGTATTATAAAAAAACTATCTCATAAATCACTATTTATAGATATAAACATATAACCAGATAAAAATCCATGAAAGATCAATATATTTTGTTATATTCAAACAAACCATTGGGGGATAACTTATCTATCAAAGAAAAAAAAAAGGATGTCAAGGGACTAAAACTCGAATGAAGAAAAAAAAAGAAAAACACGCCTTAGGACCTAAAAAAATCCAATTTATATAACAAACGATAGATCTGTTCACTCAACCTGCATTTCTAACACATTTGCCTATATTTACTTTATGTATCAACTATTTTTAATCCTGTTATACCATTCTATCTTTGGCTTTTTATTATGTTTTATCGCCATTTCACTGATCTCTTTCCCTATTTTTTTTTTATTTTATTTTTAAGCTAACTCAGTTTTTATCCCCATGGCAAAAACTAAATCTATTCTTCTCCTATATAGGATTAGATTGGCCTTAAACTTTATATTTGAAATATTTCTATGGATTTTTATATATATCATTTTGTATTCTTCAACCTGTAAATGCTTCTTAACCGTGTAGGTATCTTCCTTACAATTGATATGTCACCCAATTTCCTAAGGTGACATAGAAAAGACAAGGAGAACAAGAGATGCCAAGAATCGTGTATTGAATGTGAGAGTCTTTCTCTATCTTTCTAATCAATAAACAGAAGATATGAGAAAAAAAAAACAGGAATTTATCTAATAAGAAAAACCTTAAGTAACTCGTTCCAAATATCAGATTTTAATATTTAAAAATTTGTATCTTTGTTATCAATTTAGAAAGGATACTGTGGATGCTATGGATGATGTGCATAGTTATGTTAAAAATAAATA